TTCAAGTCAGTGTGCATAGGATTGCAGTGGGGCCAAACTAAAGAACTAGAATGGCTGCACCTCTCCGGGAGTCATTGATACACAAAGTTTTAGGAGCGCCCCGATCACAGATTGTTTGCCAGACACTTTGTCAAGTAGATACAAGGTTAAGGAATGCCAAGGTGGGCAGAGAAAGAGAGATCAGCATGAAAGAAAGAATTCTGGGAATGAGTGGCACTGCAGTGAGAACAGAACTCATGGGTCTTGAACCCAGGGAGTGGCAGGCACTTTGGCTAATAATAAATATATAAAATAGCATGGCTTTCTAGGTAGTGGTTGAAAAGTATCTACATATGGAAGATCTGTCTAAAGACTTGTACCAGTTTCTCTTCTTTTCTTAAACTAGTATAAGTTACATGGCAAGTCCTCCTGCATCAACTATATCTTCACAAAAATGTGTCAGTTTTTATGGACACATATTTTAATCTGCCAATCAAGGTAAGCCTAGTGACAAGAGTCCAGTATCTGGGTATGTTTGTTGTGTATCTTTTAATCACAGAAGGAAATGGGGCAAAAAATTCTGGCTCTCTCCAAGGAGGTAGAAACATTCTCAGTTTTCAAACATGAATCCAGAGCTTTTTTAAAAGTGGGAGTATTGTGAAATCCTCCTCCGAAATCTTGTTACTAATTCTGGAAGAAATGTGATTTAGTTGTGTATTGCTTGTCTTTCAGTATGAAAGAAATGTTGCTTGAACATGACTTATACTTTATCATTATGCCTCTGAATGTTATGCAGTTTTACTCCCTAGTTGCTCTATCCCATAGGACTTCCTCTCAAGTCAATATGTATAAACTTGCAAGGCTACTGAGCTTTATCCCCATTTCACTCCTACTTAAAGAAGACCTTTGTCAGTCGCAACCAATCTACTGTCATTGATTTCAATTGATTTTAATCTAGATAGAACTAATTGTAGATTTAACCCACCAAGAGAGGTATCTGGAGGGCTAGATAGGTCTGTTGAAAAAGATACTGAATGCTCAATCAAGAGACATTTAGGGATCCATAGTTAATCGTAGCGGAAGTCAATCTGACAAGTTCATCATGACTAGTTTGCTCCATTGATTGGGTCTATTCTAAGTATGGCCAAGTATCAAATTAGACAATAGCATGTCATTAGATTGCAAGGCTACTGAGCTTTATCCCCATTTCATAAGGTTTGTGCCTAAGCAATCAGATTTGCACACAAACCCCATATTTTCTTCCTGATGACTAATCACAAAACAAACTGATCTATAAAGTCCTGAAGGTGAAAAAGCTCATCCTGCAATGTTCAGACATATTCTAGCACTTAAAGAATTCCAGCTTCTAGCGTTATTGTATAGTTTGAATCTAAATCTAGATTCACACCAGAATCATTTTTTTAAAATCCATGTTGATCCCTTCCTGTATCTCACTTTAGAATAGTCTGAAGAATCACAGCTCTTGCACCTGAGAACAGCCTTGTTGTGCTATTTCAGTGGTTCCCAACCTCAGGTAACCCAGATGTTCTTGGACTACAAACCCCAGAAACCCTGGCCAACACAGTTGATTTTGCTTCTGGGAATTGCAGTCCAAGAATACCTGGGTTATCTATCCAAGGTTGGGAACCACTGGCTTATTTGGTCCAGCTTCCTGGTCCAGGAAAAGACTGGTAGAAGAGACAAATGACTTTTTCCACTGTTTGCCACTTCAAATCAGCTAGGATTTAGAGAATAATGGCTCTGAAACTGGAGTAATAAGTTGCCCATCATGGCTAATTGCCACAACTAGACCTATTTATTGCCACTGAATATGTATACTCTTTTTAAAAAAGCTACTGTACCCTGTGGCAGTGAAGATCATCATTTAATTAAAAATTATAACTTTTGATTATAACTTTTTACTTACTCTTTCCCTCCCTTCCTTCTCAGTATATTGCTCATCACTTCTTTCAAGCTGAACTCAAATTAGTGTTCTCGGGGACAAAAATATCTTTCTCCAAACCATTCACAAATTTGAAACCTAATGTTCTCTGTCTCTTCCTCTCTCTTCAAAATGAAAAGGAAAAAAGCATTCTTAAAATGGCAGAACATTTCTGCAGAAGGAGAGAAACTGCCTTATGGGTAGCTTTCCTTTTAAAGGGCTGGCTGAATAAATGCTTTAAACAAAGTGTTCCACAACTGTAAGACTCACAACAGAGGAGCAATTATGTCTCACTGTGAGCGGTGCCAAGGGGCGGTTCAATAAATAAGTTTTTATGGTTCGTGATCCAAAATACATGTATATACTTCTATCACTGTATCCTGGTCTGCCCTTCTGGAAGGAGAAAACCTGAATTTTTTCACTCATTTGAAACACCCTGAAAACTCAATCTGATGGCAATGAAAAAACCAAGAGAACAAGGAAACTTGTGGATTATCTTTAGCATACTGCAGATGGAACCACTTTAACACTTGGAAAATGTATAATTTCTATGAGCCCTGCCTTTACTTTACAATAGATTTACATTTAGGGATAGGTGAGAATTTCCATCCATTTTTAGTCTGACTTTACCAACACTTAGAAAAACTACATATCTGGAATAAAGTGAAAATAACATATTATACTCATCCCTCACCCATGTAGGACTACTTTCAATGATGAGCAGTCCTTTTTAGATTTAACCTAGTGGCATTTTAATGTTGCTCTTTTTAAAGAGAAGTAACAGTGGCCAATAGATGGTGCTCTTGTTATGCTAAAGAGTCCCAGAGCAAGCCGATGGGATGTTGCTGAATACAGAAATAAGAAATGTCCTGTAATTTCGAAATTACAAGGTAGGTATTTGAGGAAGCCACAGCTATGTTAATAATTGCATTTGTGCCTGCATATAATGTTGAGATTTTGATATGAAAATGTAGCAAATATTAATGTTATGAGAATACACGTTATAATCAAAATTCTCAACATATAAACAGTACCACTCCTGAATGCTAGAGGATGAACCTTTCTAGAGCTCTGGTTAGGACGGGTGCACCTTTCCCAAAGGGGCTGCTGTGTTAAGTTTGTTGCAGCAAAAACCACAAGGAATCGTGTGAACCTAAAACACTAACAATTATGCTGTAGGTTTTCATGGACCTTAGTCCTTTTCAGCAGTGCATGAAATGTTGTCTTGATGTACAGGAGTGTTCTTCCCTTGCACGTGCACTGTGCAATTTATCTGGCTGAACCAGGGCACGAACTCTGAGATGTGTGTGGAAGGGGGTCAAGGACAGACCCTTCAGAAAAGCAGAACAAAGCAGCTGTCTGAGGGCACAGTTACATTATGGAAACAAATTGGGAGAGGGATCGGGGTTTTGGAATAGGGTTTATATCACGTTGTACTCACATGGTATTTGAGTCCGTGTGGGTATCCCCTTGGGAAAGCCTTTAATCTGTTCTTGAGCTGTGTTTTATATCAGTCAAGGGGGCTACACAGGCTTTTAAAATCATTGCAATTGAGACTTTGTTCTGTGTCCGTCTGTCCTCGCACTGGCCACCTGTTGCTGCTGCTGTGGTGTTATTTTTAAATTTTGTTTTATTTGCTTTATGTCTTTCAAAATTACATTCTGATATGCCAGTATCAATTTTCACCAGATGGAAAAAAATAAAATAAAAGAGGTTGCCTGCAGCCTGTGAAAGCCAGATAGAGGCTCCTTTTTCATTAATTTTTTTAATGGACAGCAACCGTCTCTCCTTGAAAACTTGTAAGTGAGGATGCTCAGGGCACACACACATACACACACACAGAGAGGGAGTGAGTGAGAAGGAGGGAGGGAAAGCAGCCAGCCCTGGCAAAAGGGAAGGCAAGAGAAATTGATGAGACATTGACAATAAAACCCAGTAGTTTCTAGGCTTGTGAAGAAGGGAGCACCATATATATATACCATATATACTCTCTGTAGTAGCTGCCAAATTCCTAGAAGAGTTCTTGGCCAAATGTAGAATATTATAGTCTTTTTCAGAAGGATATTCTCACAAGGCTTTTGGTTTTAAAATGCATCTTTTAGGATCCACCAAAAATGAAGCAGCATTTTCTTCCCAAAATCAGAACTGGGACTGGCCATGTCATCAGGCAGAGTGAAGCGGCTGCTTGAAGAACCAAGCCCGGGGTTTAGTTTCGTTGAGGTGTTATGGGTAGACTTGTTTGGTACTTCGTTTGATGTTCCCGTGTTATCCTTAACAGCATTTGTAGTCATTTCATTTCTATTGATTCTTGTCATGTTACTGCTAGGCAGCTGGAAAAATGATTCTGTTGTTTTCTATCTCGGGTACTGAAATAATTTGGCAGGGTGTAGGTGTGGGTTCCTGATATGATCCTTATTTTAAGCAGCAATATTTTTGGGTCAGCCCTGATCAGAATCCAATAAGTAAGTAAGTAAGTAAGTAAGTAAGTAAGTAAGTAAGTAAGAAAGAAAGAAAGAAAGAAAGAAAGAAAGAAAGAAAGAAAGAAAGAAAGAAAGAAAGAAAGAAAGAAAGAGCAAGGTCACAGGTGGTGGTGGGAATTCTGCCGGTCATAAAAATTCAAGAGCAGGCAATAGCTTTATAGATCAATTTTTAAAAAAAGCCTCCATACAATCTGTTAGCTTTTGTGGATCGAGACTGCCAGTCAGACTTGTACCGATGTAAAAAAAAAACATGAAGTCCCCAAAGTCTGTGGCAAGACGGAGTTTGCCACGCGTTTTTTTTTTTTTTTTAAAAAGATGTGAATCAGGTACGAGGGAGGCTGCATAAAAGTTACAGCGTCGGAAGCTGCGGATTGGGTATCGCGCGCACACACACACCCTC